TGGGTTTGACGCGGCGCCAGAAAGGAGAAACATCCGCCCGGTCACGAAGCGAACGCTCTACCAACAGGCTACCGTGAACGGTTGATTTGTATAGGAAGAAGGATATGGAGATAACGAACAGTATTCTATATCAAATTCCATAAAACAATATAAAATAGCAGCAGAGAAAATAGGGAGCTCCGAAACAATGGAAGTGGGATCATGTTCCCTGGAGGAGTGAGCATCCCCTGCTAACCAGTCACATCCACCGTGTGCTTCTTGTCATGATAGGAAAATAACAAAAAAATCTGTAGTCATCAGTGTATAAAGAATGGACTAACAATTCATCCGAAAAATGTAAGTCAGCATTTGACTCAATGATAAATTGTATTTGCTGACAGGGTCATTGTATCGACCAAAGAACTTACGAAATTATGCCTTTAAACAAGAATGCTGATATTCTTGTTTCATCATCTTGTCTGTAAATAATTCATATCAATTTAGAAATCGTTCATGCGTAGAGCATAATCTCGTGTATCGAATCAACGGAGATATATACACGCCGTCTGTAGGTGATGAAGGTATATTGCTGCATAGATAAGGGAAGTTGACGATAGAACAAATGTTTAAAGGTACAACAAAACCGAATGTCACGACTCTTCCAAAGTATATTTACTATAGTCTAGTATTTCTGGGTCCTATACATACGATGTTTATGGATAATTAAACTGTTATTTTTTTTTAACAAACATACTATAGGATAAAACATTGTAAAATTTCGTAAAACGAAAAACACAGTGCATGACATTTTCTTTACATGGTACAATAAGTTCTACTCACTGAATGATCAGAATGTTAACCTGTTGTCCTTTGTGTATTATGTAGTCATCACATTTTACTTCCTTGAGTCCTTCCTTGTATAAAGCTCATATTGCGCATGCGTGGATCAAATCAAAAAATTATTTAAGTTGTATACCAGAGTGCAAAATGAAGCACTACAGACTCTATTGATGTCCAACACAGCAATAATCTCTCAGTTTCAGTGTGTCTCCTCATGTAAGTTCGTCACCTCGTTTTATAAAGTATAATCGGAACATCCGTTAATTTCAACGTCAAGTATTTTGAACAGTTGACAAGCAATATCTGGTATGTAAAACATCATAAATCCTTTCCTGTTACTCAACCACTCAAACAAAAATCACACATTTTGTTTATCCAAAGCATCATTTCCTGTTTTTGACAGAGTGGTGCAAGGAGAAGATAGTACTAAAGAAAATGATAAATAATTCAAAAGAACGTGAGGATGATTCAAGTGATGAAGCAATTTCCAGTCGTAATTTTATTTTTGTTTTAAACAATAATATCACAAAAGTCTTTTTTTTTTCAACTTTGTAAAAAAATATTTATTAGATATATATATTGTTTTTTCCTTTTGTCTTTATCTATATTTTCATTTGCCTCGGTAAGTATACACTTTTAACTAGATTATAATGTACATCATCATTTATTTATGACAGATAGTATTAATAATTTTTCCCCTCAGGTATACCTGAACTTACCATTCAGTAACATTTGAAATACAATTAACAGTCATAACAAATTATATGCATGTCCCTTTGCATCGGCTTAATACTGTTCAGTATATCGTTTTTTACCAACTATATTGCTAGAACAATTATCTTTATAACTGATATCTTACTTCCTGATACAAGTCATTTTTTCAAGAAATGAAACAATGCATCTCAATACTTAAGAAAGGACGATAACTCGCCACGGTCCACTTAGGTATGTGTAGAGAACATGTAATTGTTAAGGGCCTTGTCTACTAGACGCAATGGTGTTAACATAAATGTTACGTAAATGTAAGGTCAGTTGTATTTGGGAAATACTTGTATATAGTGAAAGATCAATGATCGCTGCTGAGAATAATCTTACTATTTTATTAGTAAACAATATTTGAGGTCAAAAGCGGCGATATCGCTTGTCTTTGTTTACCTAACTCCAGAGCAATTTCAGGTTCAAAAGGAAGGTGCAGTTTTAGGCCATTTTTTTAGTTTTTAAAACCTTATTCACATCAAAAGAAGATTTATTATATATCACGTAATTAAAAAATACCAATACTGTTTATCATTTTATCTATCTCATCGTCATTAAGATATAGATATTACAAAAAAAGTTGCACCGTGACATAGATATGTAAACAAAATATCATCTAGCTCTGTGAAACGTTCGCGCTATTATCCTCTGACCACCAAATAACATTCACACAGAATTGAACATATTTTCGCTTCATTAGCTGCAAAAGATATTTAGAAATGTAAATATAACAAAATAAGAAATAATAATAAAATAGAATAGCATTTCATCACATTGCATACAGGATATTCGTTCTCTGGGTCTGGTATAAGCTTAGTGGAAGCGACCTCAAGGTACATTTACTACCCTCACGTGTTGTCAACAAGATTTGTAAAAAAAAAAATACATCACTACATCATTTTCAAGTACACCCAGCATGTATGAATGCATCTAGGAAATCTATTGCGCCTCGACATAATGACTTTTTTTTTTTTTTCACTGCTATCATTAAAAATGTCAAAGGTGGTGGTTTGTATGGAAGAGGTACTTGTGCATCTGAAACTATGAAAGGTTGAATAAGAGGAAAACTTGTCCTCGATGCTCTATTAGATTCAGTCTGAACAGTTCAACATAATCTGCAAATATAAAAATCACAGTTGACAATTCATCAACAGTTCAACATAATTTGTAAATACTAAATCCATTGTTGAAAATGCATCAACATAATCTATAAATATTAAAAAGCGATGGTATCAATACATAAACAGTTCAACATAATCTATACATATCTAACTCGATGATCACAAAACAACTATATTATTTTTTAAAACAATTAAACAAACACTTTCATACATGATCTTATACATATTGATATCATTGCACAAATTACTGTTTATTTATCTTATAGAAATATTTAATGTAAATTTTATTTTTCTGTTTGTTTGGGTATATTTTACGCAAACATATTTATTAAATAAATGTACTATGTTTGTCTGGGTTTTGTGAGGTTTGTCTACAACACGCTCCTCTTTCTTTACCTAAAATAACTAAGCCGCAATGAGGTCATATCTGCTCTTGTAGATGCTTACTATCTTTCATATGATTAGAACTTAGGTAAAAGACTTTCAAATCATTAAGTTGGTCATAATTATAAGTTTTTCAGCAGTTTTAGAAAGTAGCTTAGTTACTTACGGTAAAAATTTGGTATTATGTCTTCTCTCAGCCAATGCTTGTCTTTATGTTCTCCATGTTTACAACTTTTCAATTTGTTGGCAATGTGTTGAGTCAGGAATGACAACTTCTGCTTCTTTAGGTTCCTAAGAGACCGACGTGTAGAAGCAATGGTTTACTTCGACTTTAACCAAAGGTGTGATCTTTTCACTTTTCTAATTGCTGCGGCTCCAACTCAATGTCTAAATAGTCTTTGAAACTGATACATTTAGGTACTGAATGCTACTTGTTCTTTTTTTTAAAAGACAAAAAAAATTATGCACAAATTTCATAGCACTTTATAAGTTACTTTTAACCATGTGAAAGACAAGACTGTTGCCTAGATGCTTCGTTCACATAATTAATAATTTAATTGTTAAATCATTAAGTATCTGTCTGTTACAAGAAATTGGACACGACTTACTGCGCCATTAATTTTTTTAAAGAAGTTTGCATTTCAATTCTCAAACTCTATATTTTATACCAAGACAACCAGCAAAGGCCTTCCATACGAAAACAATTAACAGGTAAGTCACCCGCAGTACAAACACAGACAACAGATAAGTCACCTACAGTACAAACACAGACAACATATAAGTCACCTCCAGTACAAACATAGACAACAGGTAAGTCACCTACAGTACACACACAGACAACAGATAAGACACCTACAGTACAAACAAAGACAACATATAAGTCACCTCCAGTACACACACAGACAACAGATTAGTCACCTACAGTACAAACACAGACAACAGATAAGTCACCTACAGCACAAACAAAGACAACAGGTAAGTCACCTACAGAACAAACACAGACAACAGATAAGTCACCTACAGCACAAACAAAGACAACAGGTAAGTCACCTACAGAACAAACAAAGACAACAGATAAGACACCTACAGTACAAACACAGACAACAGATAAGTCACCTACAGCACAAACAAAGACAACAGATAAGACACCTACAGTACAAACACAGACAACAGATAAGTCACCTACAGCACAAACAAAGACAACAGGTAAGTCACCTACAGAACAAACACAGACAACAGATAAGTCACCAACAGTAAAAACACAGACAACAGATAAGACACCTACAGTACAAACATAGACAACAGGTAAGTCACCTACTGTACAAACACAAACAACAGATAAGTCACCTACAGCACAAACAAAGACAACAGGTAAGTCACCTACAAAAAAAACACAGACAACAGATAAGTCACCTACAGTACAAACACAAACAACAGATAAGTCACCTACAGTAAAAACACAGACAACAGATAAGACACCTACAGTACAAACACAGACAACAGGTAAGTCACCTACCGTACAAACACAAACAACAGATAAGTCACCTACAGTACAAACAACAGATAAGTCACCTACCGTATAAAAACAGACAACAGGTAAGTCACCTACAGTACAAACAACAGATAAGTCACCTACAGTACAAACACAAACAACAGATAAGTCACCTACAGTACAAACACAAACAAAAGGTAAGTCACCTACAGTACAAACACAGACAACAGATAAGTCACCTACATTACAAACACAGACAACAGATAAGTCACCTACAGTACAAACACAAACAACAGATAAGTCATCTACAGTACAAACAACAGGTGAGTCACTTACAGTACAAACACGGACAACAGATAAGTCACCTACAGAACAAACACAGACAACAGGTAACTCACCTGCCGTACAAACACAAACAACAGATAAGTCACCTACAGTACGAACAACAGATAAGTCACCTACTGTATAAACACAGACAACAGGTAAGTCACCTACAGTACAAACACAGACAACAGGTAAGTCACCTACAGTACAAACACAGACAACAGGTAAGTCACCTACTGTATAAACACAGACAACAGGTAAGTCACCTACAGTACAAACACAGACAACAGGTAAGTCACCTACAGTACAAACAACAGATAAGTCACCTACAGTACAAACAAAAACAACAGATAAGTCACCTGCAGTGCAAACACAAACAACAGGTAAGTCACCTACAGAACAAAAACAGACAACAGGTAAGTCACCTACAGTACAAACACAGACAACATATAAGTCACCTACAGTACAAACAACAGGTGAGTCACCTGCAGTACAAACACAGACATTAGAAAGTCTCCTACAGGACAAACAACAGATAAGTCACCTGCAGTACAAACAACAGATAAGTCACCTACAGTACAAACAACAGATAAGTCACCTACAATACAGACACAGACAACAGATAAGTCACCTACAGTACAAACAACAGATAAGTCACCTACAGTACAAACAACAGATAAGTCACCTACAGTACAAACACAAACAACAGATATGTCACCTACAGTACAAACAACAGATAAGTCACGTACAGTACAAACAAAAACAAGAGGTAAATCACTTACATAGTACAAACTCAGACAAGTAGTAAGTCGCCAACGCACAATCACAGATAACTGCTAAGTCGCCTACCTTCAAAATCACCAGGTAAGTCGTCTATAGTATAAACTTAAGCAACTGGTTATGTTGCCTACGTACAAATTCAGATAAACTGTAAGTCGGCTACGTACAAACTTAGATTGCTGGTAAGTCGCCTACGTACAAACTTAGACAGCTGGTAAGTTGCCTGCGTATTAACTCAGAAATTGTTAAGTCACCCACGTACAAATTAAGGCAATCGGCAATTCGCCTAAAGGTCTTGTAAATGTAATATAACTATTCTATTTTGTTATTTGAGCTTTCGTAATTCTATTTCAAACCGATAAACTGTTTTTTCTGGTTTAATTTTTTTGTATTTTATTTAAGACCAATGTATTAATTGTGAATATATAGATTTCCTGACCCAACGCCAGAAACAGTGGCATATATTCAAACTATTCCGAAGCAAACACAAACTGTTTACGTCACAGGAGGAAATGAATGAACTGATTGTGACGTCACTCCGCAATTGATATCCTACGTAAAGCCAAGGCCTCAGACACAGACTGTTTACGTCAGTGGTAACAATGAGTGTCTTGATTTGGACGTCACGCTACAAATGGTATCCTACGTATCCAAGGCCACAAAAACAAACTGTTTACGTCACATGTACGAACGAATGTCATTACTGTGAGCCCATTAAGCCTCAGATGGTATCATACGTAAGACCACGCCCACAGCAGCAGACTGTGTATGTTACAGGTACGTAAATTTTAAAATATGAAAATGCTGATACATGTTTTATATTAATCTCACTTTTCAATAATAAAAAGAAAAAAAAAATGTGCTCTTAACTTTTTTTCCGCCAGGAACGCAGACGGAATGTAAGGAATGTGAGAAACCTCATACTTACGTCATCCAGAAACCTACACCTCAGAAAGTGTATATACAAAAACCGGACACGACGGGTAACGGAATACCGATCTATGTAAACAGACCACGCCCACAAAAACATACCATGGTTGTCACTCAAACACAGAAATGTCATAACAGTCACACGTGTGGATCAGGTAAGGAAAAACACTAAGGTGTCGTGCAGTTCGGATAATTACACATCACGTGAGGACAGACACGGATCTAGAAGTGTCATACCAGTAATATTTATGGGTCAGGTCTAAGGATAGGTATCGCTAAAAATTTCTTATCGCGATTTATATCACGATTACTTACCAAAATATCACAATGATATCACAATATTTTAATAAGCAATTTTTACAATTATTTAAAATGAATGGTCATTATTTTCTTTAAAATACGCCAGAAAAACATAATTTCATTATTTTAAAATTCTTATGTAAATAAAATAAATAATTTTTGGTTGGTAATATGCCTTTCTTTCACCTTTTACAACATTTTTTGAGGACTTTCTGTAATTGTCATTTTGAAAGTTTGAACAAATAATTGATGTTACATTTTTGTACAAGATCACGAATACATGTAGTCAATTTGTTGACTTTAAAATCATCTTACCTTAATTTGGTTCTATCAAGAGAGTTTATGTCTGTCTTTAAAGATCTTAAAGTATTTTTTATGGTGAAATATCCGAACCCAAATGATGTTGCATTTGTGGATCTTACTATGACATTTTTTGTATACACGGGCTGTTTCAAATCTCTTTATGTAATGACGTAGTGTTATTTAATCATTTTAGGTTCTTCTAGCGGTAGCTCAGGTGGTGTTATCATGAATGTACTGACGGGCGGATCAGGTTATATCAGTGGCGGATCAGGGTTAAGTACTGTTGGAGGTGGTGGATCCAGAGGAGGCGGTGGTGGGACTCCTTACGGAATCAGTGGCGGATCAACTGTTTACAGCAACGGGCGCGTGATAGGAATGAGCGGTAGCGAAAGTGGTAAGATCCATGAATTTTTGACCGACCTAATCAAATTTAATTTAAAAAATACCATAAATAGAGTTCATTCTTATGATAATTAAAGACTTTATTACACTAAATGCATATCTTTTATTTCTATTGTTTTACATTATAGTGTATTGCCCTCCTTTAATTTCTTTTATTTATACATTGCAGCGTATTGTCCTCTTTTGGGTTTATTTTATTGAACATTGTAGTGTTTTTTCCTCTTTATTTGTTTTATTTGTTTTACATTGTAGCGCATTGTCCTCTTTGTTTAATTTGTTTTACATTGTAGCGTATTGTCCTCTTCGTTTGTTTTATTTTGTTTTACATTGTAGCTTATTGCCCTCCAATGAGGCATGACTGTCATCCATCTTGTATCAAGTATGACGATCCTCACTGTAGGTGGTGTCTATGTGAAAGGTAATCACGTGTGTAGGCGGTGTTTATGTTAAAGGTAATCACGTTTGTAGAAGGTGTTAATGTTAAAGGTAACAGGGATGGGGTAATCGTAATCAGTAATCGTAATCAGGTGTAATCGATTACAGTTTCCTAAGTAATCATGAGTAATCAGTAATCATCCATTTTTCTCATTACAAATCGTAATTTAATCGATTACTTTGAAAAAAGTCCTGTAATCATGATTACTTTTTGATTACTTTATTATTACAATTATTCAAACAAAGTTATGAAATAATGATTTTTGATGATATTCAGTGAGCGAAAGTTATAAATGCTTCCAGAAATGCTTATAATCAGGTTCATTATCCAGACAATGAGTAAATTCTATCAGTTTTCTTTCAGTAGTAATTTCAAAATGCTTTAGCAGCTTAGCAATTCACCATTTTGACTTGATATACTGTATATTTAAACTGGGAAGAAAGTTAATAATAGGATCATCTTAAAATTCGATTTTTTTTGTTTCAATCAATTATCATGTGTGAAATGCTACATTTTGTTTTCCCCGAAAAATATTTCTGAATAAATGTGTTTTTTTTTTTAAACATCAAATATTCCTTTATTGAGATGTGTACTGGGGTATCATCTAAAATCACTTTGTTTGATTTTAGGTGTACAAAAAAGATGGGTTAATTAATTAGTATTAAAACACCGGTATACTGAAGTTAGGTCAGTTTGGGTTATAACAACTATTGAACTTTTCATGCTTGCCCCATCGATGTGTTAATTCTTGTAAAAACATCTAGTAATTGGCAGCTTAATTGAAAACTTCATTACTCATCAAGAAGGTCAATTACTTGACTGTGTCTCATTTCTCTATAGAATCCCTTTATGCATAATCATAATTATGTCCAATTTGATAAATGAGTTCTTTTTATTTCTATCTCAATAATAACACAGATATTTACTTGAATTAAAGATAGGAAACATGAACTTGATAAATCTTATGCATTTACCACCAAACTTTGTCTGGATTCTACCTTTAAAATAAATATGATATTTAAGAAGAGAAGACTGAATAAAACATTCTGTTGTCCTTGAACTTCAGAAAAAAAACTTGATGTAATCTAAAATAATCATAAGTAATCATGATTACATGAAGGAAAAGTAATCAGATGTAATTGATTACTCTCAAAAATGTCTGTAATCAGCTTGTAATTGATTACTTTTAAAATCCAAAGTAATTGTAAATTAATTGATTACTTTTGAAAGTAATCGACCCATCTCTGAAAGGTAATCATGTGTGTAGAAGGTGTTAATGTTAAAGGTAACCATATGTGTAGAGGGTGTTAATGTTAAAGGTAACCATATGTGTAGAGGGTGTTAATGTTAAAGGTAACCATATGTGTAGAGGGTGTTAATGTTAAAGGTAACCATATGTGTAGAGGGTGTTAATGTTAAAGGTAACCATATGTGTAGAGGGTGTTAATGTTAAAGGTAACCATATGTGTAGAGGGTGTTAATGTTAAAGGTAACCATATGTGTAGAGGGTGTTAATGTTAAAGGTAATCATGTGTGTAGACGGTGTTTATGTTAAAGGTAATCATATGTGTAGAAGGTGTTAATGTTAAAGGTAATCATATGTGTAGACGGTGTTTATGTTAAAGGTAATCATATGTGTAGACGGTGTTTATGTTAAAGGTAATCATATGTGTAGAGGGTGTTAATGTTAAAGGTAATCATGTGTGTAGACGGTGTTTATGTTAAAGGTAATCACGTGTGTAGGCGGTGTTTATGTTAAATTTAACCACGTGTGTAGACAGTGCTTATGTTAATGGTAGTCACATGTAGACGGTGTTTATGTTAAAGGTAATCACGTGTGTAGGCGGTGTCTATGTTAAAGGTAATCACGTTTGTAGACACTTCTTATGTTAAAGGTAATCACGTGTGTAGGCTGTGTTTATGTTAAAGGTAATCACGTGTGTAGGCGGTGTTTATGTTAAAGGTAATCACTTGTGTAGGCGGTGTTTATGTTAAAGGTATTCACGTGTATAGGCGGTGTTTATGTTAAAGGTAATCACGTGTGTAGACGGTGTTTATGTTAAAGGTAATCACGTGTGTAGACGGTGTTTATGTTAAAGGTAATCATGTGTGTAGACGGTGTTTATGTTAAAGGTAATCACGTGTGTAGTTGGTGTCTATGTTAAAGGTAATCACATGTGTAGGCGGTGTTTATGTTAAATGTAACCACGTGTGTAGACAGTGCTTATGTTAATGGTAGTCACATGTAGACGGTGTCTATGTTAAAGGTAATCACGTTTGTAGACACTTCTTATGTTAATGGTAATCACGTGTGTAGCGTGTTTATGTTAAAGGTAATAACGTTTGTAGGCGGTGCTTATCGTTAAGGTAATCACATGTATAGGCGGTGTTTATGTTAAAGGTAATCACGTGTGTAGGCGGAGTTTATGTATGTAGGCGGTGCTTATGTTTAAGATAAATACATGTGTAAGCGGTATTTGTTTGCTCTCTCTCCTGATCCAGGGTAAAATATTTATCAGTAGGTAGGCTGGAAATCTGACATACAGTCGCCTAAAATAATCCTCTGACATACAATCGCCTATAAGTAACATATAAGTTATCTAAGTCAATGTTTCGATTGGAAACAACAATATTCAGATAGAGACAGTAATGTGAGTGCTGAAATCTGTTAGAGGAAAAAGCATCTTGCAAAACTTATAAAGAAGTTTTTATATAAATGTATTTTGAATCTAAAATTCGTGCTTTATTAATACTGGTAGCGTTAAATATCTCCATTATTTTGAATATTGAAAAATATAACCAATGGCTCGACAATTGAATATAGATTGCTAAATTGTTACTTCACTTCCTGTCAAGACATCAGAATAACTTCTCGGTCATGGAATTTCTTTACATTAAATTCATTCTATAGCTTATAGAATGTAATTTTGTATTCCTTTATTTGAAAGTTCAAATGAATTAAATTCATCAGAACTAGCATGTATCGATGAGCCATGTGCACAATGTAAGTCTATATATGTAATTATTCTCAGCTTTCATTGTGTGATATCTTTTACAACTTGTATAAACTGATATCTGGAAAAAAAACTCCTGCCCTAAGATAGGGCCCTAGGTAAGCTACTTCAAAAATATGACCTTTTTGATCACCTTTTGTCTGTCTGTAAGACAATGTCAAAATCTATGAACGACAAGGAAGATCACCATACATGATGTTTTAATTTGTAACAAAAAGCAATCATAGCCATTTCATAATAATATTTCATTTCAGTTATAGTTTATGATATATATACAAGTACAATTTTTATATCAAAAATCAAATCCTGTGTTGAGAGAATTATGTTATAATTGTTCCAATAAAAAAATACTATTATTATATAAAGAAAATAAATCATGAAAAAAAAACCCATGAAAATCAAAACAATAAAAAGAATGAAATAAATAAGAGTTGTTTTAGTATATATATATATATATATATATATATATATATATATATATATATATATATATATATATATATATATATATATATATATATATATATATATATATATATATATATATATATATCAAAGCGAAACAAAAATATTCATTTGACGAACAACACACATTCCACTTTCAATCTAAATATAGAACAAGTTCTTTAGATGTTAATGGATTCTACGATATTTGTTACAACACATTGTGAATTTACAGTTAATCCATTTTAACCATATTATTTACAAGAAAAAAATTAAAGCATTATTTAACTCACTAAAAATTGTACAGAGTGATAAATGCAAGTCTCTTTGCATAATTTATTTAATTTTAGAAAAGAAGTAAACCGATTAATGTAATTTATCAAAATTCATCTTAACAGTTAAAAAATGTACATGAACTATGAAAAGATAGTTGTATGCAATGACCGACCTAAAAGTAAAACAACATGAAAAATTGACATGAAAAATTACCAAGATTCTGGATTATCTTGCTTCTATCATCAATTATGCATAGAATTAAACTTGTGATTTTAGGGGTCCATGTTCTTGATCCTGATGTGTTTTGCATATTGCATTGAAAAAGTTGATCACTTTTCGCTTTCTTCGTCTCTTAGAAATGAATATTATTTTCTTATACATGCATGGGGAGAGTAGAGAATCAACTTACATGTTTACCATGTTTTCCAAATAAGATCTCTACGAAAGATTCTCAACATTTGATTAATAAATTATTGATATCTACAATATACACAATATGGTTTTTTTTTGTTAACAGAATGCATGAGGAGAGAAAACGACCCATATACAATGTGACTGAAACATTCCTAAACCTTTTTTATCTATTTAATTTTTGGGAAACGCGTTCTTGAAGAATGTCTCTCGGTATTTCCTTCATAATCATTAGCAATAGATGAAAATTCAGTTTTCTGAACAAATGAATCATAACTGTCTTCATACCAAAAAGTAATTTATATAATATATTAAAATTATTTACCTTGATCATCCTTGATGTCTATAAAATGTGAGTGTTCTTTTTAATAATATCAACAAACATCATGTATATCATTCAGACAAGCAATTTACAATTTCAACACCATTTCACCAGGAACTGAAGTTTGCCCCCTGGCAAATTGAAAAAAAAGTCTTATATTCATTGTTTTGCAAGCTGATTGCTATTCTGTCCAACCATAATCCCTTATCAGCAATAAATCTGAAAAATGATCGACCAAATAATCACACATCTCAATTTTACCAGAACGACGGCATTGATGTAATATTGATTCACAATCGTCCAGTAGGCTATTGATGTCCATATTTTTCTCAATCAATAGTTTGACTATTTTAACATTGCCTCCCATGGCTGCATCATGCAACACTGACTTACCACAACTGTCCCCTAAATCTAATAAATGAGGAAATATCTCAACTAAGAAATCACAAATTTCAAACTTCCCACTGAGACAAGCTATATGCAGAATACTTTTACCATCATTTGACACGGCATTAAAGTCCAATCCATTTTCTATCAGAAAAATCATAATTTCCACACTCCCTCCACCACAGCAAGCTGAATGTAACACTGTCCATCCCCTATTGTCCCTTATCTCCAGTAAATGATTGACCAAATACTCACACATCTCCATTTTACCAGAGCGACAACAGAGATGTAAAATTGTTTCATCGTCTCCCTGTAGGGTATAGATGTCCATCTTTTTCTCAATCAGTAGTTTCACTATTTGAACATTGCCTCCCCAGGCTGCAGCATGCAATACTTTGTTGCTAGATTTATCCCTGACACCTAATAGATGGGGATAATTCTCAACTAAGTAAACACAAACTTCAAACTTCCCATTAAGACAAGCTATATGCAAGATAGTTTGACCATTATTTGACAAGGTATTAATATTCATTCCTTTTTCTATCAGAAAAATCACAATTTCTACATTTCCACCATAGCAAGCTGAATGAAACACTGTCCACCCCATAGTGTTCTTTATCTTCAATAAATCTGGAAAATGATTGATCAAATACTCACACACCTCTAATTTACCAGAACGACAGCACAGATGTAAAATTGTTTCACCATCTTCCCGTAAGGCATTGATGTCCATCTTTTTCTCAATCAGTAGTTTTACTATTTGAACATTGTCTCCCCAGGCTGCAGCATGCAACACTGTATTACCAGACTTGTCTTTGACGTTTAAAAGATGGGGATGATTCTCAGCTAAGTACACACAAACTTCAAACTTCCCATTGAGACATGCTATATGCAAGATAGTTTTACCATCATTTGTCAAGGAATTAATGTCCATTCCCTTTTCTATAAGAAAATACACAACTTCTACACTACCTCCACGGCAAGCTGAATGTAACACTGTGCATCCATCATTATCTCTAACAGATATTAAACATGGATACATATTTACAAGATACCTACACATGTCTTCTCTACCCCAAGCACAACTCATGTGTAACACAGTCTTCCCGATATTTGTTGTACAATTAACATTTAATCCTTTACTTGAAAGAAACTTAAAAAGATCTACGTTGCCTCCTTCAGCTGTGTAATGGAGAACATTGTTACCATTATTGTCACAGACATTCAGTAATTGTGGGTATCTGTTTAACAGGTATTCACCCATATAATAATGACCATTTTTACATGCAGCGTGCAGGATAGAATGACCTGAGTTATCTGTTTTATCTGCTTTTGGTATATTGTCACTTGGTACATGTAATATATTTTTATTCTCAAAGAGGTTTAGCATATATTCAAATATATCTATATTCCCACTAAAAGCTGCCCAATGTAAAAGGCTTTTTCCTCGAACATCTGTGTGATCCTGGAGTAATGCAGGATATGTTTCAATAAGATATTTCACCATGTTAAGCCTACCATCCTGACAAGCACAAGTAAGAATAGTGTGACCATTGTCTCGATCTTTTTCATAAGGATCACAGCCAAGCTTTAATAAAAGATTGAATGCATGTTTGTCTCCAGAACTCGCTGCGGACTGTAATGCATTGGCGCCTTGATCATTTTTATTATCTACAAGAAATGGATATTTTTCCAGAACTTGTTCAAGTAATTGTGTCTGTTGCATAAAACAGATTTCCTGAAGTAAGCTGTGTCTAACATTAGACCAGACAGGATGCAAGGAAGATGAAATTTGACGAACATCAACAAGCTCACAAACTCGGAGCAATAACTCTATATTGCCACTTTGTACAGCGTAAAAACACGTTTGAAGATCACATTCCACACCTGAAGACAAAATGAGATTAACAATATCGGGTTGATTTTTTGAGCAAGCAGCGTTAATTGATCTGTATCTTTGTCTTTTTCCTGAATTCGGAAGTAAATATTCAACCCACCGCTTATTTCCCACCTTCGAAAAATGCACAACCATTGAATCACCGTTGGTATCAAGATATGTTTTAAACTTCGAAGTGCATTCTTCAGATTGTAATACGTGCTCATGGAAGTGTGAATCATTCCATAATTCCAGTGATGATATGGAGGAAAATCCAATTACAGACCTTTCTCCAATTATATTTGCAATGCGGCGGGCAACATATTTAAACAATCTTTGTTCTATGTAGACTTGTGTACTTTTGGTGTTTTTACATGTCGTTAATGTAAGAAGTAGGGACGGATAACACATTTGGATCATTTTTTCAGAATCAAAATAAAACAAGACACTGAAAAGGGATTCCTGTATTGAACTATGGGAAAATTTGTATGTATTTTCTATCGTGTCATGAGTTATTAAAAACCCCTCAAAACAAAACATACTGTCCCGGAAATCGTTAACATACGAGCTTTGTAGACCTACAAATTCTAAAGAGTAGCGCTTCATCTCTAAATTCAGTCGAGGATTTTCAATCAATTCGACTTCTACTTTTCCTCCATTCAGAAGAAGATACACTAAAACAGCAGATTTTACAGTTCGTTTTTTCAATAATGTTTTGAAGTAGTCTCTCATAAACGTCATTGCATTTGGTAAAAATGCAATTACGTTTCGTTTAAAGTCTTCATTGCTTTTTGCTAATTTACAACATTGTGGAAACCCTATAGCTAGTGGCATTTCATATACCTTATGAATAAGTTCTTTGTCTTTTACGTATTCAGAGATCCCATATTTTTCTGATAGCTGCAGGAACTCTTCCTTGAGCATTGCATTTTCTTTGCCTGATAGGTCAACCAAGGACGACATAAAAAAATCGTCATCACACTCATTTTGTATGCATTCCTGATATATATCATTTCTTAAAGCAAATATCAATCTGTTAGATTTATTATCAATGTCACTTTCAATTAAGACCTTCATCATATCTGATCTAGCTTTGCATTCTTGAACGTCATCGCTGGACAAAGAAAACTCACCAAATAAATTGTCAATGAATACCACTATACCATCACACGGTGATATGTTTTCATACAAATCTGTGAACTTGTAAAGCTGAAGAGGAGATTTTCCAGCCTCCATCAATTCTTTCATCAACATCTTCGCGATTGTGGTTTTTCCAGTCCCAGGGTTACCCTTGATGACGACATAACCGTTATTGTCCAACAGTTCCTTGGCTCTTAGAAACGAGTGAGTTTTTACAAATAGATGACTAACAGCTTCATAATGTTTTTGTATCATTTTCTTAGTTGTTTCTAAAAGAAAATGATAGTTCTCTTTAAGAAACATGGACTTAATGTCTCTAAGATTCCAGAATTTATCTATTTATTAATTAACGGTGATATGCTCAGTGGTATGTGCATAATTGTATTGTTGCTTAAACTCAAGAGTGTTTTAGCTTCAAAGATAATTAATCATTTTAGACTACAGGAATTAAATTGTATACAAGAGGCCCATGGGCCACATCGCTCACCTGGGTTCTGTGCCTAGGACAAAAATTACTTAGTAAATGCCTAAGTGGTCCCGATCCTAAAAAGGGGGTTTGATTTGAGCAAACTATGCAAACTTGAATGCATACTAACTAAGGACGCTTACATATTTGTTTGACGAACTGTGACTTTTCCCTATTAGTTTGAACTTTTATTGTGGTCCCACCCAACCGGGGGTAAGGATGCGTGGGTCATAATTGTAACAAATCTGCATCTAAACTACCCGAGGATGCTTCCATATAAACAAGACCAATCATGCTTTTCTTGTTCTTGAGAATATTTTTCATATTTAGAATACTCTTATGTAAAATTGTGATTGTCCATACTGGCCGCACCCCACCCCCGGGTGTCATGATTTAAACAATCTTGAATCTTCAACATGGATGCGTCCATATAAATATGACCAGTTATTAAGGTCTTCCGTCTTCACGGAAGACCTTATAGTGATTCTACTGTTTCTTATTATTAAGGTCTTCCGTCTTCCGTGAAGACGGAAGACCTTATAGTGATTCTATTGTTTCTTCTTCTTATTATTATTATTAATCTTATTTTTTTGACTTTCTAATTTTGTGCACGCGATTTCTCGAAGACTACTCGATGGAATTGCATGAAATTTTCAGAACAGATGTGTTGTTACATGAATTTATTATATCCGAGAGAAAATTTGGAAACTCACTTCCGGTGCCAAGTTACGGGCAATTTCCTGAAATTAAAATGACATTTTGTCCGCGATTAAACTCAAAAACGGTAAAAGATATCAACATGAAACTTTCAAGAAATAAAGATCGTGATATATACCATCCAGGACGCGACTCTTCGTTCGTCGTCGGTACTTCCTGTTGTTAGGAGAAGCGAATTGAAAAAATTGTATTTTCTAACTTTTTTGTTTTTCAATATTTTTTTTATTTATTTTTGGAATGATAATAGAGACCTTTTGATCAATGCTTACTATACAAGTTGTTTGGATATTGGTTAATCAGAACTCTAGATATTAATATTTGAAAATCTGAAGCGGACCCAAGATGGCGGCTGTCTCTGTCAAATCCGCCATTTCGCGAGTAGGGGTTTATGGAGGCAGCTGAGCGTTTGACTAAATGATAGATGAAAAGTAAAAAAACTACGTGGACTTTCATTAAGTAGTACGCTGCAATTCAGTGACAATCTTAAAAATGTTAATTTCCGTTTTACTGCTTTCGTGTAATTGGGCTAGATAAGTGTGTGCAATGTGTTAAATTTACTTTCTTCACGTCGAAATAAGATAAAGGCGATAAGAAGTTGTTTTATTTAATATTTAATTTCATTGAGGCTATCACACATATTTGATAGATCAGTCCAAAGGATAGGCAGGAATATTTACTCGTGGTGTTTGTCGCCAGATTATGAATAGTGGCCCGCCTTTTATGATTCTTAGACAGGTGTACTGTTGCAGGTGTACTGTATACATAACTATATTTAGAGCAGTATTCAAAATTTATCAGTTTTTCATAAACGTAACCACTGTGTTTCCATGCATACTTGAGTCATATTAAACTAATTAAAAAACAGAAGTAAGAAAACATTTTTTAAATAAGATTGTCTAATGAAGTTTATATCAACATTCTTTTCTCAATGATATTTAAAGTTGAACATTGAACATCGAACATAAATGAAATCTGATTCCTTGACCGTCGAAGGGCGAGACATGTCTTTCATCAAACCATTTCTACTTTTTCATGAAGGTGTAAAGAATCGGGTTACCGGGTAGTTCACTTTGGGGATAAACGGGTAATTAAAAAGAAGTTAAAAATGATTACCATTTTACTTCTTTTGTGTTACTTACCTATATAAGATATAGAATATGTACAATCTGTTAAATATACTTTCTAAACCTCGAAATTTTGGCTTAAAGAACCTTCCTTTTTCTTTATTCTATTGAAGCTATCACACCTATTTAATGAACCACTCCAAAGAAAAGGCGAGCAGATTAACTTGTGGCGTTCGGCGCGAAATTATAAATAGTGGGGCGCGTTTCGTGATTCTTAGACGGATGTATTGTTGAAGAAGTAAATTCAAGTACATTTAGAGCAGTGAACTCCAACGCGTAATTTAAGCGTGTTGGGAATAAAGAGGAAAAAAGCTCGTTGGATTTTCACGCTGGCGACCTGGGTTCAATCCTCTTTGTGACCAAATTTTTTTTATCACTTTTTCAGCTCGATTTTAGGTTTTTTTTCCTGAATCGAACGGAAGACCTCTCGTTGCTCGCAACGAGATCGTTTCTAGTTATTATTATTATTATTATTATTCTTTTTATTATTTTTTTTGACTTTCTAATTTTGTGCACGCGATTTCTCAAAGACTACTGGGTGGAATGGCGTGAAATTTTCCGAAAAGATGTGTCTTTATATGAATTTTATATATCCGGGAGATTTTTTGAAAATTTGCTTCCGGTGCCAAGTTATGGGACATTTCCTGATTTTAAAATGACATTTTGTCTTCGGATAATCTCAAGAACGGTAAAAGATATCGTTGTGAAACTTTCAGGGATTATAGATCATGATATTCACTTTCCAGGACGCGACCTCTCGTTCATCGTCAATACTTCCGGTCGTTACGACAAATGAATTTAAAAAATCGTATTTTCTAACTTTTTTTGTTTTTCAATATTTTTCATATCTTTTTGGAATACTTATAGAGACACTTCTGAAAAAGCTAAATATATAATTTGTTTAAATATTAGTAAATCACAACTCTAGATATAAACATTTAAAAATCTGAAGCGGGTCCAAGATGGCGTCTGCCTCTGTCAACTCCGCCATTTCGCGAGTAGGGGTTTATGGAGGCGGCTGAGCGTTTGATTAAACCATTCTGACATAAGGATACATGAAATGTAAAAAAACTACTTGGACTTTCACGTAGTAGTACGTTGTAATTACGTGTCAATCTTAAAACTTAATTTCCGTTTCACTGCTTTAGTTTAACTGGGGTAGATACGATATGTAATGTGTACAATGTGTTAAATATTACTTCTTAACGTCGAAATAAAATAAAGGCGATAAGAACGTTTTATTTATTTAATTTCATTGAAACTATCACACCTATTTAATAGATCAGTCCAAAGAAAAGGCGCGAATATTTACTCGTGGCGTTTGGCGCGAAATTATCAATAGTGGCCCGCCTTTTATAATTCTTAGACAGGTGTACTGTTGCAAATGTATACACAAGTATATTTAGAGCAGTGCTCCCAATAGCTTAATGGTTTGCGCGTTAATAGATCATGTAGTAATTAAATTTCTGTGTCAAACTAAAGATTTATTCCAGGGTCTTCTCAAACGTCTTCTGTAACTGGTTTTGGTTGGTTCTCAAAGTAGAAAAGGAAAGGACTAAATGTGCAAATGAGAGATACCTATTATTATCTGTTTTGCACGACAGAAAAACAGATCTTAAATCATAGTTATGTTATAGTTTTTCAAGAAACAATATCGATGCATGTATATTGTAAGTATAAAACGTATAACCACTGTTTTTCCCATGCACACTTGTGTGATATTAAACAAATAGAAAAGACAAAAATAAGAAAACCATTTTAATAAGATCGTCTAATGGAGTTTATATTAACATTCTTTTCTCAAAATTCTGAATCAAGTTATTTAACATAAATGGTATCTGATCCCTTGACTGTCGTAGAGCGAGGCATGTTTTTCGGCGAAACATTTCAACCTTTTTATGAAAGTGTAGCTAATCGGCATAGTTCACTTCTGAGACGGGAAATAAAAAAAAAATTAAATTATAGTCATTTCACTGCTTTTGTGTTACTTTTCTATAGAATGTGTACAATGTGTTAAATATATTTTCTAAACCTCGAAATGTAGGCTATGAGAACGTTCTTTTTTCTTAATTTCATTAAAGTTATCACACCTACTTAATAGATAAGTCCAGTGAAAATGCGCGAAGATTTAACGTGGCGTTTTCCGCGAAATTATGAATAATGACCCGTCTTTTTTAATTCTTAGACAGGTATACTGTAGCAAAAGTATACACAAGTACATCTAGAGCAGTACTCCCAATAGCGTAATGGTTAGCGCGTTGGGGATAAAAGGGGAAAAAACCAGATGGGATTATCACGCTGGCAACCTGGATTCAATTTGTGACCAAAATTTTTAATCATTTCTCAGCTCGACTTTACAAGTTTTTTTTTTCAGAATCGGACGGAAGACCTCTCGTTGCTCGCAACGAGAACGTTTCTAGTTTCTTTGCTGTTCTCAAGAAAAAGGTTTATTAAAGATTTTTTTTCCCTTTATATATCTATGTAAAACTTTGATCGGTCATTTTGGCCCGCCCTAGCCCCAAGGTCATAATTTGAACAATTCATGAATCTACACTCCCTGAGTATGCTTCTCAAGCAGATTTTTTAAAAGGAATGTTTCCTTTACATCCCTCTGATCGTCAATTGTGGCCCAACTTAACCCCTATAGGTCATGATTTAAATAAACTTGAACTTATACTACCTGAGTTTCATCTTTCCTGGCAGAGTGGTTCTTGTGAGGAAGATTTTTGAGAATTTCATTTTTTAAAGAAATTCTTAATTGTCTCACCCTGGGCATGGTCCTTCATTTGAACAAATGTAAATCCCCTTTACCTAATGAAATTGTGAAAAGTTTACAGACGGACAGACAGGAAGACGCCGGACAAAATGTGAACACTTGCTGGTGTTACAATCATCTAATAATAAATTTCACAGAATTGACACAAATGATTAATGATATATAAATCAACGAATTTATAAAGAAAAATTAAAAAAGGAAATACATTCTCCACACTTTTCAATAAGTATGTTAATGAAAGGAACAAGGATATTAATTTCTTTCATTATGCCATTAAGGCTCTTATGTCGTACTTAATCTTATCTAGGCCTTTAAGACCAGAAATTTTTCCATAACATAAACAAACATGCATTATTAACATACTAAATTTTGTTGTCTCTTGTTACCAGTAGGCATCCTGGAATATCTAAATATGAAATATCAAGCCATTTATTTAATATCTAATTTATCTAAATATTATCCTACCGATCTTTCTTGCAAGTCTTGGATCTACAAAAAAATAATAAATCTGTAAAAGAAGTTATATTTAAGGAATGAAGCTAACTTCAACTTATGTTATACGATATAACAAAACTTGGGGCAGTTTACGCTTTATAAACCGCGAAGCGGTTTATAAAAAAGGGTAAACTGCCCCAAGTTTTGTTATATCGTATAACATAAGTTGAAATTAGCTTTATTCTTTATCATTTAATTTCAGTGAAGACAATGAGACAATTTTCCTTCAGAATAAGGCTTCAAATTGGGCATTATTTTAAAAGTAACGTCAAGCGTAGTAATTCGTTTTTGACGTAACTCATTGTGACGTAGGCAAGTTATGTTATACAAAATATTATATGTTCCTCTGAATGATTTAGCCAATGAAATTGCTTGATACAACTGAAATTAAATTATTTCATGATATATTAATCAGAAAATTTATAATGGACTGAAGTCAGCGAGTTTGTTTTTTTAAAAAATGTATTGCGAAACAGGAATGTATAAACTCTTTTTAAGAACCTGAGCATAGTTGTCGCATTTTGCTATTTCATGAAGTCCCACATATCGTGCATTACTGATGTGCTTTGTAGTATCAGTAATACTTTTCATTGTATAAAAATCAACACTTTGGCAAACTGGATTTCCTATTTTGATCATCTCATTTATACGATCATCATGACATGCAACTAATATGAAATATTTACCATGAAGCGCCAATTCTCTTTGCATACTCAGCATATTACCTAAGAAATAGGAAATGATACAATAAATTAAAAGATAGATTTTTTTTAAAATAATTTTCATATTTGAACATCTGATAATTATCAATCTGATGAAATGTTTATTAAGTACATGTATTATGATAAGTTATGTCTAAGATCTTGAATGCTTTGCCATTCCTGTCTAAATCCATCAAAATATTCCGAGTAAAATCATGCAAGAACTAGATGCTGTCATGAGACAGTAATACCCGCACTAAGGTGTTTGCCTCTAAATACACGCTCCTACATATTGGGCGGCTTTCCAAAGAAATAGTCAAAATAATTCTATAATTTACATGTATTCATCAAATTGAGTATGAAATTCTCAGACCCTGTGACCTATAATCCAGAACCTCTTATAATTATTTTATACATGCTTAATTCATTATATACCAGTCTGAATTTTATTAATGATGTAAATTCATGCACAGATCTGTCGGGGGGGGGGGGGGGGGGGGGGTCAGGACCCCCCCCCTGGAATTTACAAGGTTAAAAAATGTATATACTAAAACAAGGAAAAAGTTACAATGGACCCCCCTTGGAAAATGCAGATCCCCCCTGGTAAACACGAATATGTGTAAAATAGGTATGAAAAGTTAAACATTTGCGGCAATAGAAGTCACCACTACCCCCACCCACCCCCCACGATATAGGTTTTTGACGTTTGGTTGAGTTTTACTTTAGGTTTTTTTTTTTTTTTTTTGATTGTCATTTTCTGGGATAGGATTTTTTTTGACTGAGGTGGACCCCCCTGGAAAAAAATTCTGGATCCGCGCCTGAAATTAGATTTTGATATATGTTTTGCTCATAATAGGACCTTTTTAAATTTACTACCCCCCTCCCCTCTCGACACCACAATCACACAGCACATACTTTTTGGAATAGGCTAGATGGAAAAGGTTTGTTAAAATTTAATATCGTTTGTTATGAATTAATTTAAAATTTGTTCTTGTACTATACATGTGAACATGTAAATTTCTTCATCACATCACGTTGCGTCACCCATTATCATATTTATAGATTAAACACCATTTGGCACACCTCGGCCGATACCCACTTCATCTGATAAGGTGATGGAATCGACGAAGGTTCGCCAAAATGGCGCATGGCTGCAGTCTGGTGTGCATTGGATTAATATTCATTTTGTGTTATACCGGTAATTGGATTTATATTTCATGAAGTTGACGAGACACAGGGAGTCGGTAAGTAGAAGTTTTAGTATAGTGGGGGGTAAAATACACCCAAACGATTAGGTTAAAGTTTAAAAAGGGTCAAAGATCATCGCGTGCCACACTAGACGAATTTCATATTGTGAAGTTATCTCCCGTTGTCGATGTGACATTCAGTTACTGCCAATACTGGTGCGGATCCAGAATTTTTTTCGGGAGTAGGGAGGGGGGTTCACATCTCAGTCAAAAAATTCCAGCCCAGAATTTCGTGACAAGCCGGAGAAAAAAATGAAAGCAAATAAAGAAATAAAAAAACAATGATAGTGAGGTCAATGTTTTCTAAGTTTATAGGGAGAGGATGTCAAGAGTCATTTTTTACTTGCTACAGTATATAGTCTTGTTTAAATAAAGGAAATGCCATAGGGGGTTGGGGGTTGGGGGTTGAGGGGGGGGGATTCCAATCTTCCTACCCACTTCCTGTCCCTGAAATAACAATGTATTTTGTGATTCCAGTTAAATAGTATATTTTTTTCCATTTGACTAATTATTATACATATTTTGTTTCTTGTGTTTATAGTATGTCTGTCTATAAGTCTGCAGAAATTAAATCCTAGCTAGCTTGCCCATAAGTTTTAAGTGGGATGGGCTATACAAATAGCTTCCACATTTTATAGGTTTATTTCTTGTGACAATTTAATAAGACCTTTTATTTGGGTACCATTAATTTTTACCTCTGATCGCTTAACATGGGATACACATTTTTACAAGAAAAATACCAAACTTTAAACTCTGCCTAAATTTTGATCAGTAGGTGCTAGGGCTTTCATACTTATCATGACATATTGTATTCATTGTGAACTGTCAACAGGTATAAATATGTTTGACCTTGACCCTAGAGTTTGAACCACTTAAACAAAAAAATTAACCTTGGCAATTAACTTTTGAACAGGAATTACTAGGGATTTCTTTATTTCACATGTGCATTTCTTCTGATACTAACAATTTGAACCCTTTGACCTTGACCTTTGATTTTGACATATATTTGAGAAACTTCAACCTTCGCCATTGGCTTCCATACTGGGACATCAGTGTTTCACAAACACATCTTATCTTCATTATTATTTGGTGGTGTCTCCATAAGAGGGAAGATGTATTCACAACAAACAAACAAATCACTAGAGAAAATATAAAACATGAATATGTTGGTCATGCATATCTCTGCAGGAAAAAAAACAGCTTTTCAAATACTCCAACCATATTGTAACCCTTTCAAAACACTCATTTGAGCTTTTCTGGTTTCCTTAGCATATAATGTCTGTTGTGTGACGTGTTGTCCATCTGTTTGTCTGAAAACTTTTCACATTTTTAACTTCTCTAGAACCACTGGGTCAATTTTACCCAATTCATATAGAAATATGTACATTTGTATGTCAGACTCAGTCCATCTGTCTCAATAAATTTAACCTTGGTTATCACGGTCATATCTAGTGAATGAGAAGAGACATTCATATTAAACTTATGTATTAGTATATTTACCTGTGAGAAAGGCATGGTATTTTTTTTTTACATGTGACCTAGAAGTTTGACCAACTTGCAAAAAAAATAAAATGGTTATAAATTCAACATTTTGAAAGAGAAAAGTTAGGGCATTCATATCATAATGCATGTATATTATTACCTGTGATAAGACCTTTCCAAATAAATCATGACTTTAACACTGTGACCTTGACCTTGAAGTGATCAAGCCTAACCTACTTTTCAAAAATGTTGCATTTGCTTATAACTTTTGATTGAGATGAGATATGACTCTCACATTTGACATGTACATAAATTACTCATAAGAATTCAAGGTGTTTCCCAGCATGCGATGTTTTCTTATGCGCCCGAATTTTTTCAGGGCGCATATTGTTTTTGTCCTGTCTGTTTGTCTGTTTGTCTGTTTATCTGTTTGTCTGTTGTCAACTTTAACCTTGGCCAAAACTTTTGAACCGTAAGAAATAGAGACTTCATATTTGGTATGCATACTCCTCTAATAAAGTTCTTTCAAATGACATCAAGGTCAATGACCTTGTGACCTTGACCGTGACCTATATGCTAAAAATAGGTTTCTCAACTGTTTGTCATAACTTTTGAACCATAAGAAATAGAGACTTCATAATTAGTATGCATACTCCACTAATAAAGTTCTTTCAAATGACATCAGGGTCATGACTTCGTGACCTTGACTGTGACCTATATGCTAAAAATAGGTTTTTCAACTGTTTGTTATAACTTTTGAACCATAGGAGATAGGGACTTCATATTTGGTATCCATACTTTTGATTGAGATGAGATATGACTCTCACATTTGACATGTACATAAATTACTCATAAGAATTCAAGGTGTTTCCCAGCATGCGATGTTTTCTTATGCGCCCGAATTTTTTCAGGGCGCATATTGTTTTTTGTCCTGTCTGTTTGTCTGTTTGTCTGTTCATCTGTTTGTCTGTTGTCAACTTTAACCTTGGCCAAAACTTTTGAACCATAAGAAATAGAGACTTCATTATTAGTATGCATACTCCTCTAATAAAGTTCTTTCAAACAACACCAAGGTCAATGACCAGGTGACCTTAACTGTGACCTATATGATAAAAATAGCTTTTTCCACTTTTTGCCATAACTTTTGAACCATAGGAGATAGGGACTTCATATTTAGTATGCATACCCCACTAATTAAGTTCTTACAAACAACATCAAGGTCAATGACCTTGTGACCTTGACTGTGACCTATATGCTAAAAATAGCTTTTTTGAACTTTGTTGACGCCGGGCGCATAGTGTTTCACAAACACATCTTGTTACCCCTTGACGTTGATGTTTTACATAATTTTCAAAATATTTAACTCTCCTAAAAGATGATTAGACTTCTGAGTAACATTTAAGGAAGACTTCAAGGAAGACGGGGCTTTTTGTATAAAAAACGTTATTAATTTTCCGACCCCCATTTGACCCCCTGGGGCAAAATCAAAATTCCGAAACCTTACTGCACATCTACATGACACCACTAAACATCCCCCAAAAGATGATTAGGCTGCTAAGTAAAATGTAGGAGGAGTTCAGGGAAGACGGGGCTTTTTGCATAAAAAACATCATTTTTCGACCCCCATTTGATCCCCCGGGGCAGAATCAAAATTCCGAAACCTTACTGCACATCTACATGACACCACCAACCATCCCCCAAAAGGTAATTAGGCTGCTGAGTAAAATGTAGAAGGAGTTCAGGGAGGACGGGACTTTTTGCACAAAAACGTCATTTTTCGACCCCATTTGACCCCCCGGGGCAAAATCAAAATTCCGAAACCTTACTGCACATCTACATGTCATCACTAATCATCCCACAAAAGATGATTAGGCTGCTAAGTAAAATGTAAGAGGAGTTCAGGGAAGATGGGGCTTTTTACATAAAAAACGTCATTTTTCGACCCCCATTTGACCCCCCGGGGCAAAATTAAAATTCCGAAACCTTACTGCACATCTACATGACACCACCAACCATCTCCCAAAAGATGATTAGGCTGCTAAGTAAAATGTAGGTAGAGTTCAGGGAAGACGGGGCTTTTTGCATAAAAAACGTCATTTTCGACCCATATTTGATCCCCCGGGGCAAAAACAAAATTCCGAAACCTTACTGCACATCTACATGACACCACTAATCATCCCACAAAAGATGATTTGACTGCTAAGTAAAATGTAAGAGGAGTTCAGGGAAAATGGGGCTTTTTGAATAAAAAACGTCATTTTTCGACCCCCATTTGATCCCCCGGGGCAAAATCAAAATTCCGAAACCTTACTGCACATCTACATGACACCACCAATCATCCCCAAAAAGGTGATTTGGCTGCTGAGTAAAATGTAGAAGGAGTTCAGGGAAGATGGGGCTTTTTGCATAAAAAACGTCATTTTTCGACCCCCATTTGATCCCCCGGGGCAAAATCAAAATTCCGAAACCTTACTGCACATCTACATGACACCACCAATCATCCCCCAAAAGGTGATTTGGCTGCTGAGTAAAATGTAGAAGGAGTTCAGGGAAGAAGGGACTTTTTGCACAAAAA